CTTTCGATTCTCTACTGCCTGCCTTCCTCCAGTCCATGTCCCCTCCCAGCTGACTCTTATCCCTATGTTGCAATTTAAATTTCATATCCTGGGATGCCTGGGTGGCTCAGTGGTTGAGGGTCTGCCTTTGGCCCAGGGCATGATCCCAGGGTCCAGGGACTGAGTCTCGAATCGGGTTCCCTGCAAGGAGCCTGCTTCTCTCTTTGCCTGTGTCTCTGCCTCTCTCTCTCTATGACTCTCATGAATAAATAACATCTTTAAAAAAATAAAAATAAATTTCATATGCTTAGAAACCATCCATCCCTGACCTAATACAAAATACTCTCAGCATTTAGCCTGTCTTAGAATTTACTAGTATTATTTTTCTTAATTTCAAGTTCTCTCCAAATACAAAGTAAATTCCATGAGAAAAGGGTTCATGTCTATTTTGCTCTCCACAATATCCTTCACTGCCCTGAACATGACTTGGCACACAGTGCGTGGTAGGTTAGTGAATTAACAAGTATTTAAAAATGTAGAAAGATATTCACTCAAAGATTTCTTGAATAAAAATGCAAGTATAGCAAAAAACTGGAAACTCTAAAAGCTAGAGGATTCCTTATAGCATGCTATTCAAGGGATACAACGATTTAAGATAATGAGGTCAGGGGTGCCTGGCTGGCTCAGTCAACAGATCATTCGACTTGATCTCAGGGTCATGAGTTCAAGCCCCATGTTGGGCATGGAGCCAACTTCAAAAAATAAATAATATATATATATATAATAAATAGAATATATATATATATATATCTCCCAATGGTTCTTGCCTCCTGGTAATTATACTTTTACTTTGTTACTTTCTGTATTGATTGGAGCTCGTCTGTGCAACAGAGTATGGTGGAGATGATGGTGTGTGGTTTCCGAGGCTAGATTCTAAAAGGCATTGCAGCTTCCCACTGTTCTCTTTGAGCACTCATTTTGGGGGAAGCCAATATTCGTGTTATAAGGTCACTCAAGCAGACCTGAGGGCAGGTATGGGTGGAGATTTGAAACGGAGACTTCTCACCAACAGTCAACTTGTGAGCTCTGTGAGGGAACAGCCCTGGAAGTAGATTCTTCAACCCCAGTTACACCTTCTGATGACAGCAGCCTCATGAGATCCCAAGAAAGAACCTTCTGGCTAAACTACTCCTGATTTCATGGCCCACAGAAACTGTACATGTTTAATACATTTTTTAAAAAAGATTTGATTTATTTGAGAAAGAGAGAGTGCACGCATGAGAGAAGGAAGGAGGGCAGAGGGAGAGGGAGAAGCAGGCTCCTCACTAAGCAGGAAGCCTGATGCGGGGGTCAGTCTCAGGACCCTGGGATCATGATCGGAGCTGAAGGGCAGAGGCTTAACCAACCGACTGAGACACCCAGGTGTCCCTGTTTAGTACATTTTTATTCTTGTTTTAAGCCACTAAGTTTTCAGGTTAAGTTTTTATATATAAATACAACTGATATATAGTATAGCTCCTCTTTTACTTAAGTATATTGGTACACGTGCTCATACACGCAGAGAGTATCTCAAAGGGACACAAAGGGAGTAACTGGGTTCTGTAAGTGGGCAGGGAGGGAATATGTGCTATATCCTTTTATATTCTCAAATTTACTTACTAAACCACTTACTTTTATTTTTTTAAAATATTTTTTTAATTTATTATTTATGATAGACATAGAGAGAGAGAGAGGCAGAGACACAGGAGGAGGGAGAAGCAGGCTCCATGCCAGGAGCCCGATGCGGGACTCGATCCCGGGACTCCAGGATCGCACCCCGGGCCAAAGGCAGGCACTAAACCACTGAGCCACCCAGGGATCCCCCTACTTTTATTTTTAAAAAGTTTATTTAAAAAACTTTTTAAATATGGGCCGCCTGGGTGGCTCAGTCATTTAAGCATCTGACTCTTGGCCATGATCTTGCAGTTGTGGGATCAAGCCCCACATCAGGCTCTGCTTGGTGCGGAGTCTGCTTCAGATTCTTTTTCCCTCCTGCTCTGCCCACCCTGCTCACACACACTCTCTCTCAAATAAGTAAAATCTTAAAAAAAGATATTTAAGGGGTGCCTAGGTGGCTCAGTTGGTTAAGGGTGTCTGCCTTCGACTACAGTTGTTATCCCAGAGTCCTGGGATCCAGCCCTGTGTCAGGCTCCCAGCTCAGCCAGAGGGCTACTTCTCCCTCTGTCCTTCTCCCCTGCTTGTGTGTACTCTCTCTCTCTTAAATAAATAAAATCTTAAAAAAAAAAAAAAAGATATTTAAGCAAAAGTGTTTAGAGCTAAGGATAAACCACAGTGGTGGCCTTTCCCAAGCCTTCTTGTCCTTCCTGTTTTCCTTGTCTTCCTCCTACTCTTAACATCTAACTTTGGAATAGGCTGATAATTTTCAAAGGTTTTCCAGTAGCCAAATACTGGAGGATTGTTTTATCTTTCATATCAGTGCTTTTCACTGAGAACATCGACCCCATGACTACTAATGCAGGAATCCTGATTTGATTATTTGCATTTAATATAATAATAAGCAATAATGTTGCAGTCACTGATTGTGGCACAGAGAAATGAACCACTCATGCTGCTGCTGGGTGCTGGTGGCTTGCCTGGAGTTCGACGCGGAGCCACAGGCTGAGGTTTCTGCAGGAGATGGCCTATAACTCTAGCTGAGCCTAATTTCTCACTAATAAAGACAGACACTGAGAAATATCCCACAGAATGACCAACTGGAGGAGGCAAGGGCAGCTCCCACCCAAGCCAGCTGACTCTCCTTCAGTAAAGACAAGGTGTGGTGTGAGTGACTCCTATCACTCCCATTTATATAGATCTCAGTGAAGTTCCCGGGCTTGAAAAAAAAATGTGTGACTTGATCTAGGTTTTTTTTTTTTCTTTCTTCAGAACTGAGGGTGGATGACACATGCCTCTGACTAGTAGAATCAGAAATTTGTCTCTTAAGAGACACCCAAACTCTGCAGAACCATAATTTTAATCAATAAGACTCGGGGGAGCAGTGACAAACTTTACCTTTGATTCTGTAACATAGTCCTATCCTCCCAAGGGCTTCCAGTGAGTTCAAATTCCAGGAAGAAAGTTGTAATCACTCAAGTATGCATACTGATGAGAGGACAGCCCCAGGATTTATGAAATCTTGATAACCAGGAAATTAGTCTGAAATTGCTGCTAGTAACAACAAAGAGGATACCAAGGAAATATCCACAAGACAACTCAAACCAGGCAGTTTAGCTTTAGTGATGGCACAAATCCACATTCGATTTCAAATAAAGAAGACCCTCTTAATTTGAGTGGAGTCAGTGGAGTGCAAAATATTAAAATTTGCTGATGGCTTTAAAAATTTGGACCTCACTGGCGCTTGGGTGGCTCAGTTAGTTAAGTGTCCGACTCCTGGTTTCTACCCGTGTCATGATCTCATGGGCCTTGGGAAGGAAGCTCCATACTCAGCAGGGAGTCTGCTTGAGGATGCGCTCTCCCACTCCTCTGCCCCTCCCCCGCCCACTCACATGCATACATGCTCACTCTCTTTCTCTCCAATAAACAAATCTTGAAAAAGAAAAGATTTGATGAAAAATGAACCAACATCGACAACAAACCTCTTCCTTAGGGAACTAAATAGTGATCATCCATACATGGAATACTATCCAGTCGTTAAAAATAAGGAGGAAGGGGCACCTGGGTGACTCAGTCGGTTAAGTGTCAGACTCTTGATTTCCACTCGGGTCATGAGATTGAGCCCCCGTGGGGCTCTGTACTCCGCCCAGAATCTGCTTAAGATTCTCTCTCCCCCCCACACCTCTCTCCCAATCGTGTGAGCTCTCGCTCTAAAATAAATCAATGAAGTCTTTAAAAAAATACTTTAAAGTAATTAGGAAGATCCATATGAATGGATTTAGGAGTTAACATATGTATGCATATGTATATATTCATGTATTTCTTAAGAGGTATAGTATATATAGGTGTTTTATAGATAAGTTATTATAAAAATTTGTTTCCTTTGGGAAATGAGAATAGGCATAGGTAGGAAAGAAAATCTTTATTTATATGTTCTTGTTCAGTTTAATATACCAGCATGTATCATAAAAATGTCTGATAAAGAGATGGCAAATATACCAAAATAAGTTTTTCCACTGCATCAGTCCATACACCACCTGCAGGGCCCTTGTGAGCCATCTGCTTCTGCTTCCTTTTCTTCTGTGCCCACCATCTTTTGCTTTCTTACCTGTAAGATGAAGACAACCTAAGCCTGCTGAGACTCAAAGCAGAGCAGGCAGGGAAGACAAGGTGTAAACTGGCACTAAAGGGGACAGGGGACAGAGCAGAAATGAAATGTCATTAGCAGTCAGAGTGACAGCCACAGTGCTACATAGTATTTATGAGTGCATAAATGTGCCGAACATTTAATCCTCATAACTCTATAAGGAAAGTATCATTATCTTAATTTTACAAATGAGGAGACTAAAGCACAGGGAAGGATCTTTCCTTAGCTCACAGAACAAGAAATGATGGAGTCAGAGGTCACTCCTGCCTGCCAGCTCAGGAGCTGCACTCTTAACCACTAGGCTATGCTTCTTCAATACAAATTAAAAGAATAAAAGATCGACAGATCAAATGGACGAGCATTTCAGGAAACAGGAGCAAATGTACTATTTTGGTAGAAATATAAATTACTGAAGCAGGGATCCCTGGGCAGCTCAGTGGTTTAGTGTCTGTCTGTGGCCCAGGGCCCGATCCGAGGGGCCCAGGATCGGGTCCCGCATTGGGCTCCCTGCAGGGAACCCGCCTCTCCCTCTGCCTGTGTCTCCGCCCCTCTTGGTCTCTCATGAATAAATAAATAAATAAGATCTTTATATATATAAATTACTGAAGGTAATTTGGCAAGAGTTACCAAAATTTAGAGTGGTCATCTAACTTTTGACCTGGTCATTCTACTTCCAGGAACTTATCCTAGAGAAATACTCACAAAGATGTCTACACCGATGTCTAATGCAGTATAGATGTTTTATTTTTTTTTAAGATTTATTTATTAATAAGAGACACACAGAGAGAGGCAGAGACACAGGCAGAGGGAGAAGCAGGCTCCTCGCAGGGAGCCCAATGCGGGACCCGATCCTGGGCCCCTGGGATCACACCCTGGGCCACAGGCACACGCCCAACCACTGAGCCACCCAGGCATCCCTAGATGTTGTTTTAATAACAAAAGAGAGAGAGAGAGAGAGACTTCAGGAGACATTGCTAGGGAAATGACGAAATGCATCACAATATACCCCCAAATTAAAGTCTGTATCTATTAAAAATGGAGGTCAGCCTATAAACACAGAATGGAAAAATATTCTGAAATGTTAAATGAAAACAAATATGAAGCAGTATGTACTGCATGGCCCTATTCATCTAAGAAGTATGGTGTGAGCATCAGATTTCTTTTTATAGGAATGATGCTGAGGCTTCCCATACTTTCCCTCAAAAAAACCCTACAAAACATACAACTCAAAAATAAGTCATAAAAAAAGGGGGGGAGTCATATGTTTCTACAAATCAATCATTACGATAAGATTATTTCAAAAAATCACAAATACAACAGTTACATAAATTCAGTTTGGAAAAGTACCCTGTAAATATATTTTAAATCACATCTCTTTAGCATTCTTTTCTAGAATGTGGTTCAAACCCAGAGAAGGCATTACAATTTCATATTTGTAGCAAGTGAAGAAAACTGACAATAAATAAATAATCCAACTACAATTCTGAAAAACAAGTGGTAAATGCCATTCTTACTTTGAAACCATCTATAACTCAAACTGAAGATTCTGAGTCAGTTTAAAGTCACACAAAATTTGTATTTCCACACTTAAAATCTTCAATGTACTTTCCTTGTAGTGATAAGGATACATACAAAAGTTCAAGGGACTGATAAATAACTGAAAGTCCTAATGAGACCATAAGCAGATCTTATTACAAGCTACACATAAAAGAGACACAAAGCAGTTTGCTTCTCCATTGGCACCTTGTCAAGTGGAAGCAGCACCCAGACCAGTGGTTCTCAAACCTTGGTGTGCAGGAGCATACGCAGCAGGGGCTTGTTAAAATAGTTTCCTGACTCAGACCCTGAGCCCTCTCATTCCTGAGTCTGATGAACCTGTATTTTTAAACAAGAGGAGGTAGGAGAACCCATTGAACACTGGAAGTCTATGGTCCAATCCGCAGATCGGACTGGCTGCCCTTGGTTGGCATGGAAGCTACCCTGACTCGGAGTAGCTTCTTCACCTCTTTACTTGCCCCATCTGTACAATCGGTCTGATCATCTCTGAGGAACGTGGAAGCTCTAACATGGCTGTGAATGAGCCCGGATGTAAAAGAAATGTAGTTTTGGCTGAGAACGGAGTCTTCGTGCCAACATTAGTTTTTACAAGTCGCTGGGCTTCTGTTTTTTCATCACCTTCTGAAAAGTCTGCTTCTTTTAGTTCCATTTCTGGGAGCACCTGCGTAGAGGAATTCTAAAACTGACATCTCTGTTAATTGGGGGGGACTTTCTTCATGAAACAGGGAAGCTTCCAGCAATCCTGAGAGGTCCTACATATGCGTGGTACATGGGGAGACCCACTGGGTTAGGGAACAACAGGAAAACACCCATCACAGTGAGTAGGCTCCAAGGCCTCCTGGACAGTAACAGAGGGGCTGAAAAACTCAGTAAGAGGTTTTGACACTGGTTGAGCTTGAAGAATAAGAGCTGGATTTCCTGGAGAATTTCTTTGATGTGAGGGATACTTGCATCTGCCTGACTGAACGGACACTCCGACAAAGGAGAGCGTGCTTGACATGGTCCCTGAAGTCTTGTGAAACAAAGTAATAGACGAAGGGATCAATGCAGCTGTTAAGGGTGGACAGGCAGAGAGCCACCATGTACAGGGCATAGACGTGGCTCTGGCTCCAGGTTTTAATCATGAAATAATGTACCACGAGCAGAAGGTTACTGGGGGTAAAGCAGATCAGGTACATGGCCAGGACGGTGACAATGAGCTTGATGGCCCTCTGCCTCTTCTTTCCCGAGTTTTCATCCATAGCAGGAGAGCGGAGTGTTCTGATCATCAGCACATAGGCAGAGGCTGTGAGGCAGGCTGGGAATAGGAAGGCTCCGATGGCCAGAGAGAGGAAATAATTGAACATGTCCCCCACCAACACTTCCTCAGGCAAGACATCATGGCAGGTCGTGATGTTAAGGGCTGGAATGTGCATAGTCTGCCTCATGACATACAGGGGGATGGTAACCAGCAGTATCAGCAGCCATATCCCCAGGGAGACTCCCAAGGCGATGTTTGCCTTCCTCGCGGGGTGCACGATGGGATTCACTATGACCCAATACCGTTGCACACTGAGGCAGGTCATGAAGAGAATGGAGCAGTACATGTTGCCATAGAAAAAGCCAATGAGTACCTTGCAAAGGGCTTCCCCATAAACCCAGTTGTTGCCATGGATGTGGTAGGAGATCTTCAGCGGGAACCAGACCACAGAAAGGAGGTCTGCCAAGGCCAGGTTGGTCATGTACACCACAGCAGGGTGCTTCTTCTTCGTCCGGAAGAGAAAGACCCACAGAGCCATGCCGTTGCTTGGCAAACCAACCATAAATACAATTGTGTAGACAGTTGGGAGAAAGACAGTAGTCAGTTTTCCAGTGAGGATGGAGGAAGAGACGTCATCCACAGAAAAGCCTTGTTCCACTGTAACTCCTTTCCCAGTGATCTGCGACGAGCTGTCAGTCTTACCAATGAGACTTCTTCCTTTAGAGGTTCTATTGGTTCCTATACAAAAAAGGCAAAGCAGACAAGTGTCAGTACAGAGATCAATCTTTTAGTAGTAATTGTTTACATAAACGTACTTTGGGGCACCCGGGTGGTTCAGCTGGTTAGGTGTCTGACTCTTCGTTTCAGCTGAGGTCATGATCTCAGGTCCGTGAGATTGAGCCCTACTTGTTCCACGCTCAGCTTCAAGTCTGCTGGAGATTCGCTCCCTCTCTTGCCCCCCCCCCGCCCTGCTTACACATGCTCTTCTTCTCTCTCTCTCTCTCTCTCAAATAAGTAAATAAAATCTTTGTCTAAAAGTACTTTAGACAAAGCAGAAGGAGTATATAAAAGGCTTAGAAGTGCTTTCTTTGGGTGATGGGATTATGGGTTTTGTTGATTTCTTTGTTGTTTACAATGGTTTTTTTGTGTGTGTTTTTACAGGAAGGTTGTAGGGTACATGTGAAATAGAACATTGATTTCTAGGACTCAAAAAAACCTGACAGTATTTCAATTTATTTTTTACAAACTACCCACAGTTATTAGTTCCTAACTGTTGTTATAACGGCCATCTATCTCACTCTGGCTGGCACAGGATCCAGCTTGGCGTATCAGTCATTCCCAATTCCAAAGTCTGAAATAGCAAGATTTCAAGGAGCAGGAGGGACATTCCCTCTCCACCCACAAGAAGAGCACAAGCCATGGGCAGGGATTCCCCTGCTTCTGTGTGGGCCTCCTGGAACCTTCCTATGGAGGCCAGCTGGCAGGAAAGCCTGGCCTCGGAGTTACTGAATGGGTCAATGTACTATTTGTGTTCAGACAAATTTGTGCTCTTTCAAGCAAGTACCAGGACAAGCTTAACATTTTATGTCATCATCACCATAGTTGCATTAAACTTCAGGAACCACAAACAAATGGCATATGTAGCCTACATCCTGCCTAACTACACGCCTGGGTGGCTCAGTTGGATAATTGTCTGCCTTCAGCTTGAGTCACAATTCCCAGTGTCTGGAGATGGAGCCCTGTATCAGGCTCCCTGCTCAGTGGGGAGCCTGCTTCTCTGTCTTGGTCTTGCTCTCTCTCAAATACATGAAATCTTTAAGCATTCCCTTGTTTAAAAAAATAAACAAAAGAAGAAGAAAATGAGGGACAACTTGATGACACTAATTCTGAGGAATTCTGAGTGTCTTCACCATGTAGAGAAAACATAGCAAATTGCATCACAGCATGCCAGGGGGAGAGTTAAACTACTCACGAGTGTATTTGATAATTTTTATGCTTAGTCATTCCTCATTTCCTCTCCTAGCTTTGCACCCAAGTTCAGCAGGACTGTTCACTTCTCTTGAGGTTTCCCTGTTAAGAACTAACGGCTGTTAGCTTTGGTAGAGGAATAAAGGGTATGGAAGCCAGTACTTCATTTTTTGTTTACTGTAGATTGAGAGGTAGCTCCCAAAATGAGATGTCCATGACCTAATCCCTAAAATCTGTGATCATTACCTTGTTTAGAAAAAAGATCTTTTGGGGGCAACTGGGTGGCTCAGACAGTTGAATATCCAACTCTTGATTTCAGCTTAGGTCATGATCTTAGGGTCATGGGATTAAGTCTTGCATCAGGCTCTGTGCTCCATGGGGAGTCTGCTTGAGATTCTCTCTCCCTCTCCCTCTGCCCCGTCCCCTGCTCATGCACTCCTGTGTGTGCACTCTCAAGTAAATAAATAAATAATCTTTTTTTATTATTATTATTTTTTAAAGGATCTTTGCAGATGTAATTAAGGATCTTGAGATGAGAAAATCATTCTGGATTATCTGGGTGGGCCCTAAATCCAATGACAAGTGTCTTTATAAGAGAAAGGCAAAGGGAGAATTGAGAGAAACAGAAGACTGAAAGAAGAAAACAGTATGAAAATGGAGATAGAAGTTGAAATAATGCTGAGGGACAAGCCAACGAATGCCAAGGAACACCAACAACCACAATAAGCTGGAGGAAACAAGGAACAGATTCTCCCTGAGAGCCTTCAGAGGTGCTGACACCTTGATTTCAGACTTCTGACTCCCAAAACTGTGAGTGAATAAATTTTTATTGTATAAAGCTACCACTTTAATTAAAAAAAAAAAAAAAAAGGTGTGTGGGGGGGGATGTCTGGGTGGCTCAGCAGTTGAGCCCCTGCCTTCGGCCCAGGGTATGATCCTGGAGTCCCGGGATTGAGTCCCACGTCGGGCTCCCTGCATGGAGCCTGCTTCTCCCTCTGCCTGTGTCTCTGCCTCTCCCTGTGTGTGTGTCTCTCATGAATAAATATTTAAAATCTTTAAAAAAAGTAAATAAAGCCACCAGCTTGTGGCAATTGTTATGGTAGCCACAGGAAACTAAACACTTAGGATAGACCTGTCTCTTGTTCTAATTTCTTTTATAATTTTTTAAAACATATATGAATTATTTTTTAATTAAAAATAGTAAAGTAGGGATCCCTGGGTGGCCCAGGGCGCGATCCTGGCGACCCGGGATCGAATCCCACGTTGGGCTCCCGGTGCATGGAGCCTGCTTCTCCCTCTGCCTGTCTCTGCCTCTCTCTCTCTCTCATTCTATGTGACTATCATAAATAAATAAAAATTAAAAAAAATAGTAAAGTATTGCTATATATTATAATGTGTCTCAAATACTTGACTGAAACTAAAACAGTAAGAAACACCCAGTTCTAATTCATATTATCCATAATGGAAAAAAAAAGTCTCACAAAACAACTGCCTTTATTATACAGGCTACCCTCTAAGACTTTCTATTATATTCTGTTTCATTTTTATAAAAAGCCAGTCACCACCCTCTGTACTGACTTCATGACCCACTTACATGGTTTTCAACATCAGTTAGCAGAGTGACCGGCTTTGAAGCACTTCAAGAGGCTACAGTTGTTGCTGTGGTTGTTTCACAGACAGATGACATGTCTGGGGAACCCTCCCCAGGCCCCAAATGGCAAGGGTCCCCATATGAGATTATAGGTTAATTGTAGGCTTGTGTAGTAGCTTCTTTCTCACTCTCACAGTCCCTGGCATAGCCCTGGACATAGAGCAGGTGCTCAACGCACCTGAGGTGGGTCAGGAAGCTCAGCGAGGCCCACCACTGAAGGCAGCAGAGGGAATCACAACCTCTCCTGCCCATTTCCTGAGCACCCTGGCCTGATCCGGGTCATACCTAAGCCACAAAGACAGGAGCACAGCTGCACAAAATCAAAGTCCCTTAATCCTAGTAAGTGCTCTTACTGGGGCTCCCGTCATGGGCGCAACATCGGCTGCTTCCAAGACTTTACATGTAGTGACCTACTTCGCTTTCACAACAACCTTGCAGGCAGCCACTATTACCAGATCATCATTTTAGACCCATGAGCAGACGCACAAAGAAACTGAGTAACTTTCCCAAGGTTGGGCAGTTGTCAGGCAGGAGTCGGGATTCAACACCAAGCAGTCTATTCTGGAATCCAGGTTTCTCACCGTTACACCACGTCGCACCCTGAGGCCCTGACCGGAGTTTACACGCTGTGTAAACCTCGAGACCAACCAAACTATGAACTCCACACAACATTTCTTCTCAAACAGAAAGTTTTATTTTTTAAAATATTTTATTTATTCATGAGAGACACCGGAAGAGGCAGAGACCCAGGCAGAGGGAGCAGCAGGCTCCATGGGGGAGCCCGATGCTGGACTCGATTCCAGGACCCCAGGGTCACACCCCAAGCCGAAGGCAGATGCCCAACCGCTGAGCCCCACCCCGGGCGTGACTGACGGACTATGTCCTGTGGAACTGTGCCATCCAGCTGGGTCCTCCACCCCAGAAATAGCCCACCAGAGACCAATTCAGTGAGTTAGCCTGCATTTGTGTGGGACAGAGCCACCAAGATTCTAAAATTACTACAGAGAAAACTCAATTGTTTTAATGGGAAAAAAAAAAAAAGATTATATAGCTTGTTTTATAAAAGAGAAAAATCTAGGCATTGGTATCCACCAGTTACTAACATCACAAAAATGCTTGTGTGCCTAAGAAGCACCAGTCACGTCAACTTTGCAAAAACACAACAAACCTGAATCTGATCAAGCACCTGGATCCAGCCGCCAAGTTAATGGAAACAAAGGAGACCACAGGACACATTAAATATTACACGCTCAGCACAGTCTGCTTGAGATCCTCTCTCCCTCTCTTGCTCCCCCAGCTCATTCTCTATCTCTCTCTCTCTCTCTCTCTCTCTCTCTTTCTCTCTAATAACATAACAGACGCCTGGCTGGCCCAACGGTTGAGCGTCTGCCTTTGGCTCAGGGCGGGATCCTAGGGTCCAGGCATCGGGTCCCACATTGGGCTCCTTTTGGGGAGCCTGCTTCTCCCTCTACCTGTGTCTCTCCCCCTCTCTGTATCTCATGAATAAATAAATAGAATCTTTAAAAAATAAGAATAAATAAAACCTTTTTATTTTATTTTATTTATTTATTTTTTTATGATAGTCACACAGAATGAGAGAGAGAGGCAGAGACATAGGCAGAGGGAGAAGCAGGCTCCATGCACCGGGAGCCCGATGTGGGATTCAATCCTGGGTCTCCAGGATCGCGCCCTGGGCCAAAGGCAGGCGCCAAACTGCTGCGCCACCCAGGGATCCCCTTTTTTAAATTTTAAATTAAAAACAGTACTTATGACATTTATGAGTTGAACATTGAATATTTGATTATGTTAATTATTATAAGTGGTTATGTTTGATAAAGAAAATTTCATCTTTTATGAATACATACTGAAATATCTTAAGATGAAATTATATCTGGATTTATTTCAAAATAACACAAGGATTGGTATCTTCAGATGGTGGGAACAAAAAATGATGCAGTCGCTATGGAAAATAATCTGGCAGTTCCTCAAATGGCTGAACATAGAGTTGCCAGATATGCTAGTGATTCCTACTCCTAGTAAAGACTGAGGACAAATAAAAACACATGTCTACACAAAAACATGTACGTGAATGTACACAGCACTATTCATAAGCATCAAA